TTGTTAACAAAAAAGTCCATAGTAAAGATCAAAAGTGCATATAATGTAGAACTCACGTATCTATTTTAGTCTCAATAGACTAATATTGAGAAATACGAAAAATGATGGTTTAATGTTTGATGATTATAGAACCATTCTTCGATCTTCTCAACATAGTTCTTATTAGGATTTAGAATCTTTTTCCGTTTTTATTTGTGAAAATAAAGTGACTTGTTATAATTTAAAATCATTCGAAAATATACTTGATTTACATAAACTTACTTGGAAGGCCAAATTTTTCGTATACATGATATCATTATAAATAATCGAGCATAAGGAAATCATTATACTTTTTCCAGATTCTTTAAAAAATCTTCGTATAAATGGAAAAGGGCAAAAAAACATTTACCAAATTAAACGTTCTTCAGCCAACGTGCTAAAAGTACATTTGGTGAATAATATCAAATATATATTGTTTGGCAAATAGATCAATACAAATACTTGACTAATAGTTATTCATAGTATGGTTTTCCATGATCGACTTTTAGTAGAATAAGAAAACAAATTCTTTCTAAAGATTTATATTTCAATTTCAAAGAAAACTCTCTGATATAAAAATGTCAATAATTTATTATTTGATCAATCTACTATTACGAGTAATTAAATAAATAGATGCCACTTTTACAGAAATACTTGTAACCTTTATTGAATTGATTGCGAAAAAAAAGATCCATATTCAAATGTTGCTTAAGTACCATAGAACAAAATGTAAATATGAAAGCATACAATTTATTATCTTAATGCTATGTTTTTGTATCAAGGTGAAAGATGATTCATTTACTTATATTTACTAATATGTTTCAATGAATCTTAACAAAGGCCACATCTATTTTGAAGTATAACATTTTATTATGAATAAATATTTTGTTTATGTTATGCAACTGTAAAATGTTCGAATGAAATTGTATCATGATAAATCGGCAGATAATCTCGTTAGAAATATGATTTAAACATAGTTTAATGACTGCTTTTTTTCTTCATTTATAACTCAAGGTGATCGACATTCATATTTATGATGACGGATGTCACTAGATGAAATGATTTAGCTCTATTCATCATTGGATATTACCTTGCCAATGATCAAGCAAGGCTTTCTGTTCTCCGTCTTCTTCTTGTTCATGTGTGCGTGTTCGTAACTTTGGTCACTATTTGAATTTGTCGTTACTTTACCACGTACGAAGTATTTTTTTTCTTATTAAATGAAGCTTGTAACAAGTATGCGGTAGAGGTTCATAAATGACAACGGTCGTTATTTTATTTGTCGTTTTATAGAAGACCTTGCGTAATTTTTTCTCTTCGTTTTTTTTTCTTTTGTATGATTGATAACCAAGTATTGTTTCACATGTGAATTAAATTGTAGACTGTCACCCATTGTTAATAAATAACTTTATCTGAGAAGAAAAAAAATGGGTCCCAATACTTCCGATGTTGACGATGATAAAAATGACAAATCATCAGAAAAACAAGCCACAAATGTATCCGATTCAGATTCGGATTCAGATCTTGATGAGGAAGAATATATTGTTGAAAGAGTTGTTAAAATGCGTACAACGAAAAAAGGCAAAGTTCAATGTAAGAAATACATATTTATTTTTTTTCTTCAAAATAAATATTATTTAATATTTCTTATTTCTTATTTCATTAAAAACAATAAGATTTACTTAAATGGAAAGGCTTTTCCGAGAGTGAAAATACATGGGTAAAGAATAATTTATTTTTTTCATTAAATTTAGTTTTTCTCATAGTTTCATTGTTTCAGGAGCCTGCAGAAAACCTTGAATGTCCTGATTTAATAGCAGCTTTTATGGCTGAACAAAAAGAAAAACAACAACAACAAGCATCAACATCAAAAAGTGATGACAATTCGTATGGAAAACGGTCTCGTAGTACTAGTAGTACTAATAATAATAATAATCATAATCATAATAATAACGCCGATGGAGACAAGAATAATAATAACAATACTACTCAAACAAAACGACCTCGTATTGAATTTGATCAAACTGGTTATGGTCGGGGCCTTGTGCCAGACATGTTATTGGGTGCAACAGATATATATGATGGAGAATTAATGTTTTTGTAAAAAGAAATTTTAATTTTCAAATGATTTTAAATTAATTCTTTTCTTTTTCTTTTAATTTAAGAGTAAAATGGCAAGGAGTAAATAAAGCTGAACTTGTTCCATCACGTATTGTGAATAAACAATCTCCACAACTTGTGATAAAATTTTATGAAGAGCGATTAACATGGAATTCAACAAATACTAGTAATAATACTTCCAATAAAGACAAAAAAGCTTAAAATTTTAAACATAATATTCCAATTCTTTGTGATTGTTTTTGGACAATGTATATATTAATTTTTTTTCTCTTTCTAAGCATGCTTATTCTGACATGATCACAATTTTTTTTAAATTTCATTTTCTTCTTGCTTTTGATCATCTATGTATTATGATCGGATTTTATTGTATATCTTTCAAAAGATAGTTACATATGTAGTAAAATGACCAGGAAGAAGAAATAGTTTTAACATTTTTTTCTTCTAATTTCACTTTTTATACAAGTTTAGATATGCTACGAAATAAAAATGCTCTTAAACAAAAACAAAAAGGAATTTTTATTTGTTATTTTAAATAAAATTAGACTAAAGAAAATTAAATAATTTTATATATAAAATATAAATTGTGTATTCAAATATTTTATAATAAAATCGATCTATATTTATATTATCTCAACGCAAAAAAAAGTTACACCCAAGCATTTATTTATAGGAAATCTTTGTTCAGTACGAAGCAAAGTTCATCAAGTATGTTTACAAATTTCTATACAAATAAATCAACTATTCTCATCACTGATAAAGAGAAACAATAATAATAGTTCGAAGTACAAGACTCAATATCAGCTTGCAATTGTTTTTTTGTGCACTTTTATAATAATTGTCCACATGCTGAGGCTTATGTTAGTTAATGAAAGTGCCTTATTAAAAAAAATAAAATAGAAAAGTGATTGCCATGATTGTGAAAGTGTAGTTTTCTTTCATGTTGTTGTTTTTTTCGTCGATGAAATGATGTTATTATTGTTGCAGACTTTTGAGACATTTTAATCAACATTGATCTTGTTCTTTACAATAAAAACATCATCTAAATTTCCTAGGTCAACCAAGCACGGTCATAAACGTCCATATGCGAAGAAATACGGCGATGTACATGGTTCAGTATGACGGTCGTATATCTCCATGTTGTATACGACGAAAAAATAACGGCAGCTTCGATCCTCGCATACGGTCACGATAATATACGATCGTTATACTGAACCATGTAAAATGTCAAAATATGGTCGTATACGAAGAAATACGGAACGTATACGATTATTTACAGGCGTGTGCGAACTTCGTTTTCATCGACATGAGTTAAAACAATCAACTTTCATTGGTTGTGAATTAAAATATGTTGCTATTTATCGATAGCAATTAATTCGATATTTTCAGATACTTTAAGAAATAGGTTATAGTTAACATTATTGTTTTTGTCAATTATTTTTATACACAACGAAAACAAAAAAAATTCAGGCTCACTAGATTGGTTCGATCTCATCGGAACCATAAGCATAGTCTTATTGAACGGATGGAATAGTGTTAGTTAATGAAAGTATCTTGTTAAAAAATAACTAAACCGAGTATTAGCCGAAGCTAACATTAATTACAAACAATAACATTCTATTCAATAAGAGTATTGCTGATCTCATATCAGAGATGAGTTCGAGATCTGGTATAATAAATTTATTCAATCAAACACTTTCGTTTAAGTTACAATCAATTAAAAATTTTATTTATTTGAAAAAATATGTTTTCCATTTCCAACAAATATCTCAGTATAAATATTGTTAATTTAAATTAATTTTAGTGATTATCATTTTCTTGAAATTAACTATTTGTTTTTGTTTTTTTTTTGCATTATTCTGTTACATATATAACAATTGAATTCTCTGCTCCAAATGCGATATACTCATTCGAAATAAAAACTTTTATTTAATCTTGACTTTACTATATCTTGGTATTTTTTTTTGAAACACACTACAAATAAAGTACCAGTCTATACAACGAGACAAAGATATATCAGACGAAAAACACACTAATGCCACATGATAAATACACATTAAAAAACAAAGAGCGTCAATCAAAACTTAGTGAGTTTTGTTCAGATATGTTTCTTCGAGCGATTCTGACGATTATGGTTAGAAAGAAGAAACAAAACAAAAAAAACCCATAACAAATATTGCTAGAGTTCATGTAGTTCTCTGCTTTTTTCTAGGCGGACATATAATATTATTTTGTAATGATGCCATAGCTCGATAAGCATCTGCTAATAAATGTGGATGTGTACGAATCATTGTTTGAAAACCAATTGTCTCTAACACATCTATACAAACAAAAAAAATCAGACAAAGAATACATAAATAACATGATTATAAAATTTTTTTTTCACTTAAAATACCTTGTGGATGTGCATTTATAAAATCAATAGCTTGTTGTCGTAATTGTGTTGCTGAATGAAGATCAGCAAGTATAAGTGTATCAGCAACATTATCACGATCAATTGTTGTACATAATGCTTCTTCACATTGTACTTTAAGTCTTTCCAAACAATATTTATCAGCAGCTGGTAAAAGTGCATCAGCTAATGTATCAAGATTTTGTGCTTTACCCGTATATATAAAACGAAGAATTTCAAACATAATATCACCATCAATATCTTCGATTTCAACACGTGAACGTTCATTTTCTAACATTTTATGTTCAAACATTGCTTGAAAAACTTTCGATCGTGCACTTAATATTGCTTTATGAACAGGAAATTCTTTATGACCACAAACAAGTGTTACATCGGAATACGTTGAATTGTCTAGTAACGATTGAAAATCATCACTTAAATGACATTCAGGAATTTTAAGCTAAAAAGAAAACATAAAAAATTATAATGTATTTTCTATATAGATAAAAAAAATTTTTACTGAATTAATTTGTGTTTGTCCACTAATATTAACACTATCGGCAACAACACTAACTTCACAAAACAATGTTAATTTATCATCTGGTAAAAGACCATTAGTTTCATCAATTAAAAAATCACGGCGAATAAATTTTTTAAAACCCCAATCTTTTCCTAAAATTGACGAAAATTTTTTAAAATTATTTTTTATTGTGAAACATGATCTAAAAGGAGTGTTGAAATATGCGCAGTAAAAATTTAAATTCTTCATAGATTATAACAGACGCTACTCAGACACCATCACGAATAGAGACATAACTCGATCGACCGCACCACCACTACAAATGATCAAGCGATTCAGTCGTCGATCAATCCTTCGACTGGCCCCTCTAATTACAGACACAATGGCAACACTTCTGCCTCTTATCTCACAGACCGTATTATCAATAGCATCTCATGATAATATATGAACTAATTCATTATTACCATTCTGAAAGATTAAATAAAAAGATGGTAAAGAAATGTATCTCAAAATAGAACGAATAAAACAGTTCTCCTGTGATTAGCACTAGCAGCTACATTATGTTTCACATTTTAACCCCACAAGGATTGTGCGTATAAATTTGAAACAAAAAAAAAGACAATGTTTACCTTGAACAAATCGATAAGCACGTTGAGATTCCATAGCTTTTGTTTCATCACCTTTTGAATTTAATATTGAAAATTTAAATTTAGCCCGTGTTTCACATTTACTATTCGGTGCAGCAACAAGTAATAAATAAAGTGATAAATAATCTTTTGATTCTTCATCGAGACCTTTTGGATTAAGACGTAAACACCATTTGAGTTTATCATTTGCATTGGCTGAAAATGATGATGATTTTAATGCTTCACCCATTTCTTCACGACAAAATGAAAAATTATTTATTGTCCAATGAAATGAAAACTAAATAATAAAAAAATAAAAATACTTATTAAATTATCTCAAAAAGAAAAAAAAATTGTTCCCAAGATGAAACTAATATTCAAATGAATCAATCGAATTTTGTCTTCTTAATCATCAAGAACAAAACAAATATTTGCATTGGCATCATCACATTTTATATTTACTATCAAATGATACTGCTATAGAAAAAGTCTAATTTAAATCTAATTTTCTATTGAAATTCGAATAGTTTGATACAAAAGAAGATTTCAGTAATTATTTTGAAGCATGAATCAATTTTGTTTGTAAAATTTGATTCTATACATAATGAAAGAAAATAATTTCTTCGTACTTTAATAACTTTAACACTTGTTAAACACCATGATTCTGAAACCGGTTGATTAAATGAATGAATTGGTTGTTGTACTGTTGATATTGTTGTTTGTGGATGATGGTTTGGTGTTAATAAAATGCTACTTGATGTATCACTAATCATACTACCAGCTATGTAATGAACAGATGGTGATGGTGCTCTTACAACAACAATATTTTGTGGTGAATCGGGAAGCATCATTTGTGCTTTTCAATTACAAAGAAACAATAGAATAAAATGTACTCAAAGCAAACCTATAAAACAAAATCATTCAATAAGATACAAACACGATGACTGTTATTTTCTCTAGGAAATATAGTTTTGACGACGACTATCTATTGATTCTGTATACATAGATATAATTTATGACATTAAATGAATCATGTGAGATTAGATTCGAAAATAGTGTTTTTTTTCTTTGTATAAAATATGAATTTTTTTTTAAATAATATTTTTTTCTGTCAGATAAATTTTATTATTTTTTTTAAAATTTCCTAACAATTAGCGAACTCTTATTTATGATTCCTATTGGTTAAAACATCTAAACCACTAAGAAAATTATTGATATATAGGTCATTTATTTATTATTGTTTATTTTTCCTTTTTTTGAAAAACATGATAAGATTTCGATCACATTTATTATCGTTTCGTTCAGTGTTATTATCATCGTATGAACGATACTTAACATCATCTCAAATTCATGATGTTTATATATATAATGCAACAAGTAAATCAATGGAAAAATTTGAACCAAAATATCCTGGAACAATATTTTGGTACAAACTTCCTGATTATTTATTTTCTTTTTTCTTAATTTGTTTTTTTTTTTCTAAATATAAAGGTATTCTTGTGGTCCAACAGTTTATGATAGTTCTCATATAGGTCATGCAAGTACATATGTTACATTAGATATTATACATCGAATATTAAAACATGTATTTAATTATAATATTGTTCTTATGATGGGTATAACCGATATTGATGATAAAATAATTCATCGTAGTCAAAAGGTTTGATCGTTTTTTTTTGTTTATTTAAAAACAAAGACTTCAATTTCTTTTTTTGTTTAATATAGGAAAATGTTCATTATTTAGAAATATCAAAAAAATATGAACAAGAATTTATTGATGATATGTTAAAACTTAATGTACAATCCCCAACATTATATGCACGTGTATCAAATCATATACCATTAATTATTAATTTTATACAAAAATTAATTGATAATGGATTTGCTTATGCATGTCCATCAGGTACAAAGTACAAAAATAATAAAAAGAAAAACAAGAATTTTTTTGTCTTGTTTAAGGTTCAGTTTATTTCGATATGAATTATTATGGTGAAAAAAATGAATATAAACATCATCGAATGAATGAACAAGGTTTATCATCATTAGAAACTGATATTCTTAATGAAAAACGAAATAATCGAGATTTTGCATTATGGAAAGGACGAGATAAATCAAGTAATGAATTAAAATTTCAATCACCCTGGGGTTATGGAAGACCTGGTTGGCATATTGAATGTTCTGCAATGGCTAGGTAAATAAATAACCGGATGTGGCAAATGTTTTTCATGTAACTCTGTTTAGGAACGTGATAAAACATTAATACTTTTTTTCAAAAAAAAAAAAACACCAAATGAGAAGTTCAAAATCCGTTCGAGACGGTAAAAATTCTGCTTCAGAATCTGTAGAAAACTGGTTTTTCAAGAGGAAGTCTTTAGGCGTCCGGTCTTACTGAAAACTTCATCATAGATGTCGTTCATATCGTAGAGTCGACTCTGTATTTTTCCTCGTATGCTGAGAGTAATTTGCTAATTACTTTTTAATTAATAGTCATCTGAAAGAGTCAACATTTTTACATATGCCTATACTAAGAGAACTTATTCAGAAAAATAATCTTTGTAAACAATCAAAGGTGGACATGTCCTGTTTAGCTGAAATGGCTCACATACTGTGCCAATTGATGTGAAGAACATACAATTCAGACGACGAAGCAGAATAATTTCCCCTGCCTGTAAATTTTCTATTACGGATAACTAACATATTTTATATTTCGAAGGAACAGGTTCCCTATGAGGAATCAAAGTTTTTAAAGAAAGCTAGTTATTATTTTCTCTCCAAGCGAAACTGAATCAGATCATATTTAAAAACAATAAAAGATAAGACAAAAGTATGAATTGATTGCTGGAAAATATTTTATGCAAAATCTATAGGTATCCGATGAATATTTTATCTTAAAAGACATGAATTTCCATAAAATACTGATATAATATACTTTTTGGATACGATACTTACCACACTTTCATAAAATACCATAGGCAGCGTGCGATCATTTTTTTTTTTAGGTAAAACAATAAAATTTAAAATACGTTCATTTTGTTCTCTTTGTCCAATTTTGGAGGGTGTGAGTGAAGCGAAGAAGAACACTCACATCCGAGAAATAGTGACAAAGAAAAATTGTTCACGATTGATAAAGCTATTATTAAAAGTTTCAGCTGAGAATATATTTTCCTTAAAAAAAGAATTGATGAATAAGTGATTTGTTTGTAGCTTCGGAAGACTTATTTCTCCTTGTTAATCAAAATCAAACAATAACTATGTTGATCTGACTGTTTTATCTAGAAACAATGAGCTCGACACACGAATCCCTTGATTAAACATCCTCAATTGTTCAAAGAAACAGTGAAATAATATAATGACACACGTGTTCAGTGTTAGCATTCTATGAAAATTTCGAAAAAAACAATAAAGATTAGCTTTTGAGCATATCCATCTGAAACATACCACTTTATACACGAAGTTCAGCGCCAGCGACGGGACCTAATCTATCTTGTAGAGAATTTTTTTCTGATTAAAACGTACGTGGTGAAAAACTCGGAAATGATGCGCGACTTGAGATAGAGTCAAAATACTTTTACGCTGATTGTGGTAAGCTGCTTCCAGAACAAAAATTTTGACCCCTTATATTTTTACATGGTTGGATAGAGCTCGTCGAGCTGATCACAAATACCACCTTTGAAATATTTTTCGATCGAATTTTGGTTGAAAAATCTTCGAAATATGAGTAACACCCTCAAAACCTGGAATTTTGTGTATTTTTCAGAAAATTTCAAGATTTCACTCATTGAAACCAATGGTAAATCTTTGAAACTAATTAATTGGAATTCAGCGTCAGAAAATGAGTCGAACTGTGTAGTTTTTAATTAGTTTCAAAGATTTACCATTGATCTAAATGAGCGAAATCTTGAAATTTCCTGAAAAATACTCAAAATTCCAGGTTTTGAGGGTGTTACTCATATTTCGAAGATTTTTCAGCCAAAATTCGATCGAAAAATATTTCAAAGGTGGTATTTGTGATCAGCTCGACGAGTTCTATCCAACCATGTAAAAATATAAGGGGTCCAAATTTTTGTTCTGGAAGCAGCTTACCATAATCAGCATAAAAGTATTTTGACTCTATTTCAAGTCGCGCATCACTTCCGAGTTTTTCACCACGTATGTTTTAATCAGAAATAAATTCTCTACAAGATAGACTAGGTCCCGTCGCTGGCGCCGAACTTCGATGTAAACGTGGTATGTTTCAGATGGATATGCTCTTTTGTGAATAAAATGATNCGAAAAATATTTCAAAGGTGATATTTGTGATCAGCTCGACGAGTTCTATCCAACCATGTAAAAATATAAGGGGTCAAAATTTTTGTTCTGGAAGCAGCTTACCATAATCAGCATAAAAGTATTTTGACTCTATTTCAAGTCGCGCATCACTTCCGAGTTTTTCACCACGTATGTTTTAATCAGAAAAAAATTCTCTACAAGATAGACTAGGTCCCGTCGCTGGCGCCGAACTTCGATGTAAACGTGGTATGTTTCAGATGGATATGCTCTTTTGTGAATAAAATGATGCATCTTTTGAGGAAAAAAGAGGATCCACGTTTAATAGAGCTACATGTAAAACTTTTGTCACACTCTGATAAAGTGTATTATTATTTTTCAAATTTCAAAGATAAAACTAAATATTTTAGTCGAACATTTGGATCTCATCTTGATATACATTCTGGTGGTTTAGATCTTGTTTTTCCACATCATGCTAATGAAATACTTCAATCAACAGCCTATCATGGAAATAAAACATGGGTAAAATACTGGTTACATACAGGTAGAAATTATTTTATTTTTTTTATTATGAGATCGCAAGAAAAAAAATTCTTAAATATAGGTTTATTAAATACAAAAACAATGGATGAAAAAATGTCAAAATCCTTAAATAATACAATACTTATTCGTGATATGCTTAAAACATATACATCAACACAATTTCGTTTATTTTGTTTAATGCATGATTATCGTTCACGTAAATTAATGAATGAATTTCATATTAACATTTATTCATAGATTTTAGCAAGGTCTTTTGAATCAGCTGCTATTCAACAAGCATTATTTGTTGATAAATTATTTAAATCATTTTTTGATACAGTTCAAGCTTGTCAAAAAGGTCTTGTTGCTATATCATCTTTATCGGAAGCTGAAACTATAACAAAGTATAAAACAGATGGCTTTATTTTTGTTTTAATATGAATTATTCAATTTTTGTTTTATTTATTCTATTTGATAGAATAAGAAATGCACATGAAGAAATCATTGATGTTTTAGCAAATAATTTTGATACTCCATCAGCAATGAGTCGTTTACAAGAATTAGTTCATTGGATTAATTCACATATGAATTATGACGTACATGACAATGAGGTATGATACATTGATGGGTAAGTGACATATATATGTCAACTGTAGAAACAAATGCTTAATTGATTACACAATTACGAAAAAAAAAATTCGTTTATTTTTGTCAACATTTGAAGATTTAATAGGAGAATTTCTATTTTGAAATAGACATAAACTTAGGTAGAATTATTAAAAATTTAAGCCGAACAGAAAAGGAATTTGTTTAAAATTCTGTTAGAACTAACTAAAAATTATAATTTCTAATGAGGTTATATGAGATTTCAATGCTAATAAGATTAGCATTAGCTTTTTTTTTTTCGAAGAAATGTTTTGATACACCATTTTAATAGTATTAAAATACCTTCTCTAAAAAAAGATATTTTACGCATGAATTATATTCCCTACATTTCTGAGAAGATATGAGCTGTGATTGTGGTCTTCGCCTTTATCATCACACCACCCACTCAGAAAGGTTGTGGATATAATTTTATATCTCAAAAAATTTACCGCCGTTGCATTTATCTTTTTCAACATAATAGTATGCCTGGCGTGTTTCATTATAGGGCATGGCAGGAGGCTATTATGTATATAAATCCATGTTTTTTCACTTCTTATATTTTATGCATGTTAATAAAAGAGAAATATATGTACATATTGTATTAAGTTTGACGTGATTGATCATCATTACTGATATTGTTTTCTCTTTAAATAATATAATTGGTTTTTTAACATTCTATTTTTCTTAGACGAGCAAGGAAAAGAAAATAACGTAAAACATAAAAGTCTTTGCACAAAATATTCGTTCATTTTTTATCACTAAAAAACAACTGGTTAGAATATGAATTTTTCACTAGCTACTTCTAAACATATGTTCAGATTTTCCTTTGGGTATTAGATTCAACAGTTCTAAGTAAATTTCATGACAAAAATTCAAAGCTGTGTTCATACAAAACAAAATAGCAATTTCAGCACAGTTCTTAGTTTGTGTCTTATAGCAGCCTCAGCACAACATTATTGTAGAGTACTGAATACTATACAAAAAAACGAAAGCTCCTCTATGCATTTACACTAAAGATCTAGTTTCTATGGAAATCGGTACTGGTCAAAGGATCGTTGTTTGTAAAAATACAAAAGTTTTATAATCTGTTATGCAATAAAAATGAATGGCATGCTTTATAATACAAATTTTATTCTACAAAATTACCCCATTAAAAATTGTTTAGCATTTTGAATTTAATAGGTAATTGTATAATATTTATTCACAAGAAAATTCTGAACACACCTTCGAATAGAACAAAAAAAAAATAAGTGAATATTTTCTGCCAAGACTATCTCGTCATAGATTACATGAATTTTTTTATTCACTTGTCTTGATGTACATATCAAAATATTAATCTGAACTGTATTGATCTCTATTGTGAAGTCGTCCGACGATTTTCATGAGTTGTTTATTAGTAAAAAAATAAATTTTAACGGTAAAAAGAATTGCTTTCATTTTTTTTGTTACAATTCAATTCGATTTCGAATATTTATTTTGTTTTTTTTTCTTCTTAGAATTCAATAAATAACATTCCAACTTGTGCATTATTTCTAGCCGTTGATTTTATTCAAGCATGGCTTGAAATATTTGGTATAGATATGAGTCTATCTGGTCATCAAAATCAAGTAAATTTATATTCTTTAGTATTTTATTTTTATTTTTATTTTCTATCAGAATGCTTCAGTCGATCGTATTTTATTAGAAAATATTATTGAAAAAAGTGTTCAATTTCGTACTGATATACGTGATATATGTCGTCGTCGATCACCAACAGATGAAGAAAATCCGAAAAAATCATTACTTGAACAATGTGATGACTATCGTTTACAAATGAAATATCTTGGCGTTGAAATCAAAGTATTATTAAAATATATATTATTTATTCTTTGTATTAATTTAAAATTATATTCATTTTAGGATCGAAATCAAGGTTCAACATGGTCATTTAAAAAATGAAAATTCATATTCTTCTTTCTTTCAGTTTTTTTTTTCGATATACACAGAAAGCATTGCAAATTTAAATGAAGACGTTTTGTTATTATTTCAGATTTTAAATTCTTTTCTATTAATAACCAAAAATGAGTTTTGCTCTTATGCGTGGTTTTCGACCATTAAGTCGTATTGTTCATCCATCTTTGGTTAATTCATATTTTCTTGGTGGCCCGTCCTCAGTATAAAATTTAATTTCAATAATTTTATTTTATTTCTTTGGTTGTTTTTGTTATCTAAATAGAAATCAATGATACCAGTTGCTAGTGGAACAGCAGTTCAACCGGTATTTTCACTTCAAAATCCAACAGCGAATATGGCTGTATTTACAACTTCGGATCATTGGAAAGTTGAACGTGTGGTAGCTGTTGCTATGCTTGCTATAATTCCAGGTTCATTTGTCGTTGATTCAGCATTGATGAATTACTTACTTGCTGCTACAATGGCTATTCATGCTCATTGGGGTTTGTTAAAATAGATATTTAATAACAAAGTAAAAATATATTATTATATTTCTAGGAATGGATGCTGTATTAATAGATTATTGTCCTAGAAAAGCCTTACCTTTCGCTAATCTCATTCGATATGCAATGACAGCAATCGCTTTTGGTGGTCTTTGGTAAGAATGAAAAAAAGAAAAAGATAATGAATGTGTTTACATTCAATTGATTGTTTTTTTATTATTATTATAGTTATTTCAATTACAATGATATGGGTTTAACAAAAGCATTGAAAGCACTTTGGGCTCTACATTAAACATTTTATCGTGTCTATCTATAGATTAATATCCTGCACAGACATATATTATATGATTTTCTTTTGTCCTTTACTGTAGTAACATTAAATATCTATATTATATTCATTTTTTCTTTTTTGCTTAATAAACATCAAATGAACCCTTTAATCATTTATCTTTCATTTCATTGATTGATTAATAAAAAAAATTAATGGATAAATATTCATATCTTATTGAGATATTTACGGAGGACGATATATTCAAATCGTTAACCGAGAATTGGTCAGACTACCATCCAAGCCAATCACCGCTAAATGGTTTTTGGATTTTTTTTCATCTCAAATGAGAGCGTGAAACTTAGGAGTACAAAATATTAGGATTTTTTGGAATAGATTAAAAAAATGACTCTTTTCTATAGTTTGATGGTATTTTGAGATTTTTTTCCGCCTCTGTTATTATGGTTCAGTTTTACAGCAAAATAAATATTAGGTTTGAAATCAGCGCAGAAAAAATTACATTCAGATAAGATATATTCTAGCGAAATTAGTTTTTTTTTTTGAATGAAAAACTGGCCCTGAGGGTACCATGGTCAATGTTTTTGGGAAAATGCTGAGAGGAGGGCGTACAAAGCAAGCTTTTTGTCAAAATAAAACATTGCCAAAATATATTTACTATGATGTGGGTTTTTGCTCTGATTGAAAATATACCATTTATTTTCTTCTCGTATTGAGCTATGCTGTGAAAAGCTGCTAAAGACGAATACCATTCTAACAGTTTTATATGGTTTTGTCGTTTAGCATAACAACTGCAGTCACTACTAAAATTTTATGGATGTAGTTTTGCTTTTTGAGTAATATATGAAAAGATGCAGAATTTCAAACTATATGGATTCATTTTTGGGGATATGATGAGTCAAGTGGATTAGTAGATGAAGGACTGGCAACATAATAACTATAAACAACAGGCTCTCTTTTCTCGTAGAAGTACGATAGATTATTAAAAGTTATTGAAATGATCACTGACGTAGTCCATTTCATAGAGAACTTTTTTCTACATCTTCTGAATCCTTTCTCGACTCAAAGCAATAAACAAAGACAAAGAAAATTTCAAAATATCATGAATTTCTATAACCTAATCGCAAAAATTGAACGATTGTGATCTTCAATATTTTCCACAAGTACCTCAGAAAATCCGGAAAACATTCAGCAGCAGTTCACTTACATGAAGGTCTGGCGGGTCCTCTCTTAATGATGATGAAATGAGATAGTTTTCATTGAATATGTTCTGTTTATTGTATTGCAATATTTTCTTATTTCCAGACTTGCGATGGCATTACGCGGTCTTAAAGTACTTGAATTGTCTGGTTTAGCACCTGTTCCATTTTGTGGTATGCTTCTTGCTGACTATGGTGCCTCTGTAATACGTGTTGATCGAAAAGATGATCAACAAAATACTCGACTAGATCGACTTGCACGAGGCAAACGATCAATTTCAATTGATCTTAAAAAGCCAGAAGCTATTGATGTTTTTCGTCGTTTATCATTAAAAGCTGATGTACTTATTGAACCATTTCGACCAGGCATTATGGAAAAACTTGGCTTAGGTCCAGACGTATTATTAAACGATAATAAACGTCTTATTTATACTCGTGTATCAGGTTATGGACAAAATGGTCCGTTAGCAATGAAAGCTGGACATGATATTAATTATTTATCCATTAGTGGTCTATTATCGATGTTTGGACGATCTAATAAAAAACCATATGCACCTATTAATTTAGCAGCTGATTTTGCTGGTGGTGGTTTATTAGCTGCTTATGCAATTATGTCAGCAATATTTGAACGACAAACAACAAATCTTGGACAAGTACTTGATTTATCTCTTGCTGAAGGTTTGAAGATAATTTTTAATTTTATGAATAAAATAAAATTTCATTTTCTTCTTCTTTTTTATAGGATCAGCATATGTTAGTTCGTGGATGTGGGCATCACGTGATCTACCTATGGTATGGTTTGGTGAGCAACGTGGTGAAAATCTTCTTGATGGAGGAGCTCATTTCTATGATACATATGAAACATCAGATGGACTTTATATGGCTGTTGGTGCACTTGAATCACAATTTTATAATCAATTACTTATTGGTCTTGGTCTTGATCCTAATAACGAAGATCATAGTCAAATGAATATAAATGAAATGAAAAAAAAATTTGAACAAATATTTAAAACAAAAACTCAAAAAGAATGGACAGAAATATTTAATAAATTAGATGCTTGTTGTACACCAGTATTAAATTGGAATTCAGCATATGAACATGAACATAATCAAGAAAGAAAAAATTTTTCTTTAACTAATGAAAATAAAAATAAACTTGTACCAATGCCAGTACCAAAATTTTCTTTATCTAAATTACCATCAATTAATCGATCAGCACCATTTTCAGGTGAACATACAATTGAAATTTTACGTGAAATTGGTTTTACTACAGAAAATATTGAAAAATTAATTAAAAATAATATTGTCCAAAATACTGAACGATCGAAATCAAAATTATAAATTTATTTTGCTTTAATTTTCTTTGTTCTATTAATTTACATCTGGATAAATCCATTCTTATTATAGTACAAATAAAAATGTCATTTTCTATCCTTCTCTTATTGTTATTATTGTTCACTACAGGTTGTCTATTACACTACAGTTTCTTACTGTTTGATTCGATGTTTTGATTGGTAATGCCCACAATGATTACCATGACATTTAAATAGATAAGAAAAAATCCGAAGGATCATAGGATAAAACCTATTCGATATGCTTTTATTACGAATATAGTACTAAAAAAGAAAAAAACATGTGGCAATAGTTGTTTATTATCGCACAGCTTCTAACCTACTAAATACCTTCAGAGGAAAATCCAAAACAGACAGAAAATGTGAAGAATAACCTTGAGTTGATGACGACAACAACAAGATTTATTAATTAATATCAATGATAATCTCTATAGATCATTAATATAACTAGGATTTTCTGTCTTTCTTTCTTTCATTTGTTTTGGCTTATTCTCATCAATTCACCAGAACTATCTCTAGTTATACTGTTATGTTGATGATAATGATAATAATACAATAGAGAAAAGAAGAGAAAAATCCTGTAGATGCTATGAAAATATTCAATTAAGCACGGATATGATGATTTCCCGATACAATCTATCACTATCATAGGCACTAGCAATAACAACAACATCTGTCTCACTGTCATTCTTCTATATTGATCGTGAATTCTAATAGCAAAAGGATCTAGAAATAGCTCTCTCTTATGTACGTGTCTTTAAAGACATATTACACTAGACAGACAATAAACATTTATCTATATGTGTTAAACGAGATCAACAATTTTTCTTCTTTGATTTTATATTAAGTGAGAAATCTTGATAATAACAAATGGTGAGTTACAATATAAAAATTGTTCAATTTGTATTATTATTATTATTATTATTATTATTATCTAGGAAGAAACACCACATTTAGTTGCACATTTTATGGCTGCTGGAGCAGAAAAACGTTTAGAAGATTATCATTTTTTACGTAATACTTATGAAACAGTAAATTTTAGTGTATAATCATTAAAAAAAAACAAGAACTAATTTTCTAATAAATATTTAGATTAGTGGACAAGAAATGCAACTTAATCGTATTTTACGTATGCTTGGTGAAGATGAATTTACTCTCAATTGGCGAACAGAATTATTACCAATAGGCAGAGCTCGATCTCGATCTGCTTATGATTTTGATCGATGGAGTAGTGCTTTCAATTTACAAGGCTGTATTGCTTATGAACGTCTTCGAGTAATCAATGAGTTTTTATTAAACTATTTGATGAGAAGTACAAAAAAATTCTTTTTTTTTTCAATAGGACTTAGAACATGATTATTCAAAAAATACAAAACCATCAACAATTCCATCATCATCTCGTCGTGTACAAGAACTTCGAGAACGTCGAAAACGCTTAAGTGAACAACATGATCATCCACCGTTATCGACAATACGTGGTAGTGGTGTTTTATCTTCAGCACGTTTACAAGCTTTAGCTGAATATGATACGGCATTAGCAGAATCTGAAGCAAAACGAAAACGACAAGCAGAAGAAAATCATTTAAATACTTCAAAAAATGATGAAAATGAATTAATTGAAAAACGACGTGAAAAATTCAAAACAATGCTTGAAAATGAAAATGAAAATGAAAAATATGAAAGTAAGTTTTTTAATATCTTAGAAATAAATATTTTTCTATATATAGAATCAAAACAACAAGAAGTTGAATCAAACAATAATTTTATCGAAAATAGTCATTTGAATGAAGATCAAAATGAAAATTTAATTAAAACTCAAGCAAACGATTCTGATAAAAATCGAAAATCTTCTATTGACTATGATCAAGAAAAATCAGGAGATATTGAATTAATATCATTTACTGTTCATTGGGAACCTATACCATCAACAAATGAAAATCAAGATGAAAAAAATTCTTTAATTCGTCTTTCATGTCAATGGGCATCACCAAGTTCATCATCTACAATTGATTATTTTACAATTGAACGTCAATTAGGTGATAAAGAATGGTTTCCAATTGGAGAAAAAATCGATAAATTAGAAAATCAAACACAATTAGATATTTCATTATTCAATGATAATGATAATAATGAAATTAATATTAATATTCCATCATATTTTCGTCTTAAAGCTCATCTACAAAATGGTCAAACATTTACAAGTAAACCAACTGATGAAATATTTCTTAATTTATTTCAAGATAAAAATATAATTATACCACATGTGGATATTCTTTCATCTGATTCTGTTCAATTAACATGGAATGATAATCAAAATGAAGAAAAATCAAATATCTATGATATTGAAAAGAAAGAAAAACAACAACCAGAATGGGAAAAACTTATTGAAGTTCCATTATCACAACGTTCAGCTAGAATAGATAGTTTAACCGATGCTAAACAATGTCAATTTCGTTTGACACCATCAACAAGTGAACTTGAAGAAATGAAAAAAACAGGTGCAATTTATATAATCATTGTTGTTTCTTTTTTCATCTAATAAAATCTTTTTTGTTTTTACAGATAATGAAATCGAACCAGAAGTATTAACCGTACATAATGTTAATGAATGGTTAAATTCATTACATATTAATCCAACATCACCAAATATAGTTGATATTAATATATCTGAAGAAGGTTTTAAAGATTTCAATTGTTATAAAATTGAATACACGACAATCAATCAACTCGATCAATGGACACAAGTAAAATATTGTTTCTTTTCTTTGAAGACTTGAGAAATATAAATAGCTTTTTTTCTTCCTTTCTCTAGATATCGGATATTACTCATGATGATCCACAATTAACAATTGATAATCTTAAACAAGGAACTGATTATAAATTTCGTTTTACTCCAGTTTTAACAGGAACAACAGCAACAATAAATGGAACTGATAATTCTCAACTTTCACTTGTCCTTGATGTTAAAATGCCATTAGCAAGAAAAGGACGATGTTAGTTTAACAAGATCTATATATGTATATATACATGTATTTATTTTTTTAGTTGCTAAAACGGAAAGTGAAACTCCGGTGGGTATTCCACCTCAATTTTCAATTCAAAAACTTGACTCTACAAGTGTTCTTATTGAAGCGATTGTTCCGGGAGAAGAACCAGCAACATTCGAAGATGTTTTTGATGTTTATTCCAAAAGCGATGCAACAGATGATGATTGGAATAAAGTACGTAATACAAAAAAAAAACCCTAAGATAAAATTTAATATGCAAAGATTCATTTTTGCTGTACTTTATCAGACACTAGAAGATTATTCTTTTTTATCATAAACAATACAAAGAAAACTCTTCTTTCATCTGCCAAAGAAATACATCTCATATATAATGTCTTGATAATGCCACGCATAAAATCCTTTTTTTTCTGGGAATAGAAAATGCAAACTCTTAGAGCAACAATTCCGGTGTCCTGATCCATTGATTTCCGGCGAGACTTTGCAGGAAAAACGTCGTTTCCGATCAAAAAATGGTCGGAACTTAGAATCAAGAATCGGGTGATCATGCCCCATTGCCGGCTCTATCCAATTTCGGTTAGTTCTAATCGGAATGGAATAAATTTGCCCATCCACTTCTTTCATCGGGTATCTGCTTCTAAGCTCCTATCGTTTTCCATAGTTTTCCGGTTGTAATTCATTCATCTGGCTTGTCTATTATCTTATTAATACATAATTTAGGTTGGAACAATTGATAAAGAACATTTAAGTACAACAGTTGAAAATCTTGAAGAAAATACAGCATATAGTTTTAAAATTGATAATATAACATCATCGTCAACTGATAATCAAAATAATACTGTACAAGAATTTAAGTTTGAAACAACATCAGGTAAAATTTATCTTGTTCTAATTTTCTCTGTCAAGAATATGTGCTAATTGAAAATTTTGTTGTTTCTTTCTCTTTATTGTTATTTCAGTAAAACAATATGACCCATCTTTACTTCTGGAAAAAATTGAACAAAGTCTTGAAAATGTTGTTAATAGTGTTATGCAAGCAGGTAAGAAGAGTTGAATACGTATTGAAATATGAGCTTCAATCAGAGCTGAAAATGATAATATTAGAATTTGATTCTTAATGAATAGAACCTATCACGATCTATAATAAGGTAGGGATAGTATATACATTAATAGGTTTCTCGTATTATCATTCTTTTTATACTACAAATAGTAACATAAGAAAAATAACTATGTTAAAAGAAGTTAAAGAATATCATTGTTGATAAAATATTTAATCAAATAAAAGTCAAAAAAAAAAGAATAGTCTATTATGAGTATTAAAGTCGTGAAACGCATTAAAATAAATGAATATTTTGAAATCGAATAGTTCTAATTCAAAACTTGGTTCAATTAAACTTTCAAGCTCGAATTTTATAAAATATTTGAAATTAATCTAGACAATGTCAGTTTTGAGATAATGCTAGTAATTTTCAGAATTTGTATTTTATCATCGAATCAATAGTTGCAATGAAAAATGTTTCATTTGAACGATAAGCTTTTTTTCTTGGTTCTTATATATATATGCATATTTCCAAATAATAAGAATAATTCTTTTAAAAACTTAGTATAATTTATCTGTAGCTGCTGGTCATCAGACACTTCAAGAGCCAGTGAATAAAAGTTTAAATGAAGTTATTAAAGAAGTATTTCGTGATGAATCACTTGTACCAAGTGAACAATATGGATTTGATACATTAGCATTAAATGATGATTTATTATTATATCGTGGACCAAAACAAATGATGTTAAAAGAATTAGAAGTAGATGAAACAATTGATTTGTCAAAACATTATGGTGAAATAATAATTCATAATCATCGTACAACAAAACAATCAGTTATTGTTCGCGAAGATAATGGTAATACACGTGTTGAAAATATTGATGGTGATATCATATTACGTAATGTTGTTAGTGATGTTTTATTAAAAAATGACCAAACACATCATCAATTATCAATGAATATAGTTGGACAAGCTTTTTTGAAAGGTGTACAAGGAACATTAGTTGCATCAAAATTTAAAGGAATTATAGTTGTGAAAAATGTAAATAAACCATAGAAGATAAATATATAGATGTTTGTTTTCATTTTTTATCCTAATTAGAACTTTCTATTTAATTTTATGTTTTTTTCTTTAATTCTTTTTCAAAAAATAAAAATAACAATACATTAGTGTTAGCTTGATACAAAATAATGGACAAAATATTTTTCTTTTTTCTTTTTTTTTAAATGCAAAATAAGACAATATTGATACGAGGTTTTTATGTTCTATGAAATATTAACTAGTTTCGAGATGTTTTAATGAAACTGATTGTAGATAATTGTCTTTTAATGAATCACTATCTAAAATATGGAAAGTAAATAAATAAATAGAGATGTCTTTTTATAATTCAATAACAAACTAGTTGTTCGATATGGATTCGTTCGCATGCAGAGTAATTTTGAACGAACATAAGAATTTGATATAATATAAACGAATGGATTAAAATAAATCGATGATTTAGCAAATATTGCTATTTAGAAAACAATAATTAGAAATAAAGTAATTAAGAAATAAATCAATTAACCTGGTATTGTACCACCTAATGGTGGAATTAATTCCGGAGAGAAAAATGATGATATAAATGCTACAATGGCATATGGTGTCCAGGCAATTGTAAAAGTAACTAACAAAAAATATTTAATATTAATTATAGTAAATAAAGAATTAAAAATCTTATCATAAAATTTACATTCTCCAAGCTTTTTAGATGTACAAATAAATGTCTTTTAGAAAAGTTTTCATTAGAAGAATTTAAAACATGAAATTTAATATGTTCAAAAAACAAAAAAGTTTAAAGTCACATCATTCTCAGCCATATTTTCATGATTTCAAAATAAATTGTTCTATTCATTTTTAGACATAACAGACCATAGATAATCATTCATTAACATGTTTCAAGTGAAGCGTGACTTCATTATCTCATAAAATAAAGCATTCAGGAATCACAAGTTTTGATGTATTCATCAAGAATTATCTATTCTATAATGTTCACATGTTTTTATTAGTGATCTTTTAGATATTTTTTTTTTATCGAAAATTGTTTATATAATATAATAATATTCGATTAATCATTTATTCAAAGTCATTTTATTCTTTAGAAATATTTTGTATGAGAAAAGATATTAGGTTTTGATCTTAAAATAAATTTGCATGTTCTACAAGTTCCTAAAGAATAAAATAGTAACCTACGCTAAATAAAATCTTTGTTTTTGTCGATAAAATTTTTCGAACTATTTTTCTATCACCGATCTGCTGCTAGAAAATTTTAAAATGAAAATTTTTTCAGACACTTTTATAAATAAAAGAAAAATCATTTTTGAACTTCCTAGAAAACTTTAATCCCTTCGATCTCTGAAAACCAAGAGATAGCATGAATGTTCTTGTAATGAAAAGGTTATGTTCATGGGGAAAAGTAATATTATAAACAATTCATATAAAAATAGAATGTTTTACTAATAATTCATGTAAAAAGAAATTTCAACTGACACAAAAAATTATAGTTGATATTATCTTGAGACTATCAACACAGGAGCAAATTTTAAAAGCTTTTCTACTTCAATGCAGATGTTTCATTCTTTGAAAAAAGAATACATTTGACGATAACGTACTTATGAAAAGAAGCCGAATCTAAGAAAAGATGTCATGTCATTCGCATTGTACTCATATCTCAATGCCAATATTAGGTTATCTTTTTATTCTATACTTTCAAGAAAAAAAAATTTAATTATTAATAAGCTCAAGGAATGAACAAAAAAAGGAGGTTAGAGCAATCATTGATGATATGTTGTAATCTCTAGACAAAAACAAAAAAATATTATTTTGCATGTAGGTTTGCTTCTTTTTGTTGTATATGATGAAGATGTTTTATTTTTAACTAAAATTTCTGAAAGATGTGTTTTTCCTTTTTTTTTTTATTGAAATTATGTCGCTGGAAATATGAAAATAACGTCTGACTTCCGTTTATATATCAAATTATATTTGACTAATTGCTTTTTCACATGCAAATATATTCATAAATGAAATAGTACTTTTAGAAAAGGAAACAACTTACGGATGATAAAAAAAACCGTTTTAGCCATACGTTTTTCCAGCTTTTGTTTCTTCAGAGCCAATTTCGATGAACTTTTAACTGTATTCCATGTCATTTGTGCTCTACTAGCTTCGCGTACCTTATGTTTATGAACACATATTTAAAATTTTACAAAATGAGCCACCTATAAATTAAACTTACTTTAAAGTAAATACACATATTGCAATAAACCATAATAATTAATGGTATAATGTAAGCAAAAATAAACATAAGAACATTGTAACTAATGATATTTATTGTTCGACCTTGCCAACATATGGAACATGTTGTTCGCGCACCTTCTAGTTTATAATTATTCCTAAAGGATAGAAATTAATTTTTTATAACTATTGATAGACGAGTATTTTTATTCGGATATCTTGTTGATACAGGACAAGTTTCGTTCTTAATAATTTATTTTTATATTAGCTATAAGACTTTAGTACCAAATAAAGTTCATCATGTATAATTGCTTGAATTCTTTCTTTTACATTTATTATTCATATGATAAGTGTTCTCAGAAGTGACAATAAACATGAACTAAAATAGCAAATAGCCATTAACGAACTAGTTCTTTTTTGTTTTAGGCAAAACAAAAGTGATGTTCATTATAATATTTTTATTTGAATGAGTATATAATTTCCATTTCTGAATATAAAACTTTTTTTTGTATTCTCAAAATTCTTTTTTACTTGGTTATCTAACCTATAAATGAAGTTCAATTAGTGTATTTTGCTTGTATGAGGTTAAAAAACCGTCATGAAAATGATACAAGCATCGAATGAAAGATAAAACTTAGATTGTAATCAGATTAAAAGTGTTCTTTCATCAAATGTATGACAGATAGTCTTATTTATACTAGCCTTGTACAATTTAAAAATATATAAATTTATATAATCAAACTTCTTGACTTACCAACCAAATACAGGTGGTAATGCCCAAAATAAACCACCAAGTACAGATAAAGCTACTGATATATAAGCAGTTCGATAAGTAACATATTGTTCTTTTGTGGATATAACAATTTTCCAATACCTTATGAAATAAATAAAATATTATCTTATTATCGATGAAATTTCTCATACCTATTCAAAGATAAGGCAGTTAACAAATAGAGCCCAACCATTCCAACAAAATAAGTAACAAAACCTTCATAATAACATAAATATTTACCATATAACCATCTAAATATAAAATAAATATGATTAAAAATACTTAAATCCTATTACCGGCAAGCCAAATTAGATGTAAGAGTCAATGGAATTCCAAGTAAAGCATCCAATAAATCAGCAAAACTTAATGCAATAATGAATATATCAATTGGTGATCGATGACTTTTCTTTTGAAGAAGAATAACAAGAATAATAACGTTGAGACCAATACCACAAAGAAAAGTAAAACATAAATAAATACCAATCCATTTTAATATATGACAAGATGCTAATGCAGGTTGCGTCCATTCATCGTATGTAAAGTTGAAGAATAAATCGTTAAACATTATAAATCTAACTCTTCCTGGTTGATTAAAAAAAAGAAACTGGAATCAACAATAATTATATGCTGTTCTATATTTACAATTAATACTCTCTTCAAAAAGTCAGAAAAATACGAAAGAAAAAGAGAAACATGAATAGAGTATGTCAAACTGACATAACCATTGTTTTCTATGACAGCAAGTAGATATTAGAAAGTCATCAATAAAAATATTGTATGCATTATTGGAAATAAAATAAATTTTAATAGTTGCAGAAGAAGAAATGAGCCTGTCAATATTTTCTTAGAATCTAGATCATTTCTTATCACTTAAGACTTACGAATTCTTTTGACCCACAAGAGATTCAACATGACATTGTCTACAAAATCATAGGAAAACACATGTTAAAAAGATAGATGTAAAAATATTTTCTTTGACAATTAGTGTGAGCATATATTGGTAACAACATTGAATCATGAATTCACAACATCACTTTTTTTTTTTTTTATTAATAAATAATTACTAGAATGCTTTAAAAAACTATATTATGAAATCTACTCGAACTAATGTTCATATATACGAAGAATAAGATCATTTGAACAACTATTTCAAAGAAGTCCATTCTCTTGATAAAAATCTCATACTAATCAGATTTCTCTTGCGATTTTAACCTGATTAAAAGCAAGAAAAGAAAAACAATTAGTTAGGGATAATTCCAATAAATTATCTTACACTGAATCATTAATTTATACAATAAAAAGTGCGCACGAAAAGAAATACTTTCGTCTTGAATAGGTCTTCGGTTCGAGAAGACAACAAAAATACTTGCAGTAGAAAGACGTGTTTTTCTCTTAAATCTGGAACAAAAAGGAATATAGATTTCACATGAATGATGTTTGTTGAGAAAATTCTTAATTATTACTATCAAATAGAACTTTTCAAGTACTATAAAGTAAACAGTGAAGTTGTTGAAGATTTCAATATTAGAACACAAAAAATAAGAAAAAAAAACAATTTTATTTTTGAAAACTGTTAACAATATATTGTCAAAAAACTTGCTGAATAAATTTTTTACCTCTTTCTTTTTAACCAATACTTTCGTATGATTTTGTAAATGATATTATGCTGCAGTTTTTAAAAAAAGAATTTTCGATGAAGAACGACAACAAACGATAGAAATATAGAGAAAATACTGAGAAGCTGGCTCATTTATTCTGTCTTTTACGTTAACATATACTCAGAAGCTTTTTTTCTATTTTTATGCTTCATTTAAATTACTCGGAGTATACTAAAAATAGTGATGCCGACAGAATAAATCTTATAGAAGGTTGAAGGAAATTTTCTATCTATATATACTGATAGCCCAAGTCGAGCTTTATAATTCTACAATATTTCATCATCCATCAGGTGATATTATAACATTGAGAGCATAACAAAAATAGTGGCGGCTTGACGAAAGCATTATACATAAAACAGTCGAGAAGTAGTGGCGGTGATACTTTAATACCGTATAGTAAGCTTGAGAAAACGTTCTTTTTACATGAAGAGATACTAAAAATATTGCTAAATTTTTCTGTGATATTTCATCATACTTCAACTTCTATCATAATAATAAATTTCGATCAAGAGCTGTTTGTTATAGTTTGTGACGGTAACATTAATGCTCACATCCTAAAACAAGGTACACGAGTATTTTGTTTTTGAATAACTTTTGACAAGAACAAGATAAGGAAGTACGGTTTATATCATTGGAAAGAGGCAATAAAGACGCACCGAATAGTATATTTTAGCCATTTCTCATATAATTTCTGCAGTTTTTGTAATCAATTTTCTGAATGTTGAAAAAATGTTTTTTTTCTTAGAAAAAAAAAGGAAAAGCAAAAAAGTAATTTTTTCCCATTATTTGCTAGAAAATAGACTTAGAGCGTCAACTAGAATAGCTTTTACTCCTTAATGATAAAATATGAACCTGTAATAATATTTTCGTAGTTTTTTAGATATTCGATTAACGGTTCGAATGCACATTTGATACTTCAAAAATTCATTGCAAACAATCGACAGGGGAAAAGATACATCTGTTTTCAAAGAGTTCTATTGAAAAGCGTAAAAAGTTGATCAGAAAGTCATGTAATATTCGATTCGATACGTCTTTATCTCTTCTTTCCAAGGATGAAAATCCCAATTCTCTATCTTGTTTCAGTCCATAGTTATTCAAAAACAAAATACTGACGAGCCTTGTTTTTTAGGCATGAGCATTCATGTTACTATCACATACCATAACAAGCAGCTCTTTTTTCAACTTTTTGTTATTATGATATCAGTTGAAGTGTGATGAAGTATCACAAAAAATACTACTTTTGGATTGCCTCAAGCATAATCTTTTCGTCAAGCCATCATTATTTTTGCTATGCAGCTCAATGTTATAATCCTACCTAAAGGATGATGAAATATTGTAGAATTAAATAGCTCAATTTGAGCCATCAGTATATATAGAAAGAAGGTTTCGCCGAACCTTCTATAAGATTTTATACTGTCGGCGTCACTATTTTCGGTAGGCCCTAAATGTTTTTCTTAAAGGAGTAAAATCATCATTGTAAGAATAAAAAAAATTCTTTTCTTTTCTATTATTACTTATTTATGGTGTTACTAATGCAAAAATTGAGCAGATTTCATTACATTTTTATTCATATATTACGTGATGAAATTTGATGAACTCATCATAAATATATGCTACGTAATTTTTTGAACAATATTTTAAGTTAGAAAAATTGAAAAAACTCGAAAGATCTCAAAATTGAAATATGTAACCTTGAAAATCTATCTAATTTTTGTGTACAACGAGATGATATTAAGTTCCTTATCTCATAAGAACCATTGAAATGCACGCTTTGCAAATACGATTCATTTGTTTTGCTCAATTTAGTTTCGTTCATCAGAAAGTTGAGTTTTTCGATTTCAGTGTCCAACCCTAGAGAAAGTACTGAGTTCAGGGTACCCATGTACTGAGAAAGTCGTAGCAGGGTACCCAATTTGGGTACTTCGAAAATTCTCAGTAATTATACTGATGTAGGTACTGCATGGGGTACCCATAAAAGTACGCTCACTGAGCAAGTACTTGTATGGGTACCTGCATCTATAATTTTACTTAGGAAAACTTTACAGGGTACCCTACATTTGTCGCGTTCTGCGTAGCAACTGTTCGTTCACCGTTTTCTTTTTCACGCACGGCTCCATATAAACAACTCGGCAAAGCATAAGAAACTAATCTATTTTCATACTAATTTTTTTCTGGATTATTTCTTGACTATCTCTTAGTCGAGAACATGCCGATCTTGATCGTAGATTAAGAGCGGACTACCCTGAAGTGGTCTGATAAATACCTGACCAACTGAAGTCCGGTCAGACCCCGACATTTGGTCTGCTTAGTTTTCTCAATTGAAAAAATTAAATTAAATAAAATCGAAAAAAATGTAATAAATCGCTTTGAGAGAAACAAAAATGAAAAAAAGTCAAAGGTCAGATTCGATCCTGAACATACTGAAATTTTGGTAACAGGGTACCTAGAAATACTGTACAATAGTACCCAATGGAGTATCTGATCAGTATCTTCAAGTACCCATTTACTGAATATTTTGTACCAGAGTACCCGATAAGGTACTTTAGTACCCAACAGATCCTGAGACATACTAGTAGCAGGGTACTTTTTTGGGTACCCTTAACTCAGTACATTCACTAGGGAAGTCATTAAAAACTTAACTCGTATTTTGCAAGTTCGACCCTCTATATTTGTATTGATGAGCAATATAAATAACATATTCTGAATCAGCAGAAAAACAAAACCTAGTTAGATAACATAGGTTTCAACAAAAACTATTCTTCGTCAAAAACACACCAGTGACGGACCACGGGTAATAATTTTGTAAAAAGAAAAGAGTTGAGGGATAGTACAGGTGTGTTTTTAAAAAAGAATAGTTTTCGTCGAGATCTATGCTATCTAACTAAGTCTTTTTCACGGATTCTGAATATGATATTTATATTGTTCATGAATAAAAATATGAGAATAAAAATTGCTAAATACAAGTGAAGTTTTTAGCGATTTGAACATTGAAATTGAAAAACTCAACTTTCTCATAAATGAAACTAAATCGAGAAAAAAATTGTATCATACTTTTGAAGCTCTCATTTCAATAGTTCTTTTTAAATAAAGCATTTTGTATTATCTCTTTGTACACAAAAAAACAAGATAAGCTTGCAAAGTTGTATACTAGTATGTCTTATGAGGCAACATTCTCAACTGATTTGCACCATTCGAGTTCACATTTTGTTGGTGATTAGGCTTCATTATTTATATGAAATATCTAAAAGCGTTCATGCCATTGCTGCTTGGTTTCAGAGTTATGAGCAAAACAACTGACTTGATAGATGGTGTCACTATCTATGTGCTATATTTTTGTTCTTCTCATATCTTAACTATGGCATAGTTTTTTTTCTTGAATTTTTTACTACCAGCTTATCTCATTGAATTTAAGTGAAAAGGATATAAAAATATACGCCCTAGCTAATAGATGACAAGAACAAAAAAAGATCACATTAATGGTGGCGCCATCTATTAAATGACTTGTTTCGCTCATAACTTTGAAATCAAGCAGCAATGGCACGAACGCTTTTAGGTAGTTCATATACATAACGAAGCCTAGCCACCAACAAAATGTGAACTCGAACGGCGCGGATCCTGTAGGGAATGTTTCCTCGTAAGTTAAAAGGTTATTTAAATAAGTAAATAGCATATATTTATGATCAGTTCAGCAAGCTCTATTTAATAAAATGTATTAAGAGAAATAAAATAAAATCTGCTAAATTTTTGCATTAGTTACACCTTACAAGATTTTGAATACAACTTAAATGAATTAATATTAGATAAATAGAACTACAATAAAAACTATAAACTGATAATAATTTGTCGTATTTCATACAGAACATGTTTATACAGGCTCATTGAAAACTTAAAAAAACTTACATAGAGC